CTGAATGGCTCTGAATGGCTCTGAACAACTGTTGTTTAATCCGCCATTGTTGTTCACGAATAATGTTTTCAAAATAACATTCTAATTTATTTATATATATATTTTTTTTAATGTTAAAAATTATTAATTCAATTTTATCAATTGAAATTTATCTTTGATATTTTTTGCTTCTTATATTAAATTATTTTCCTTTTTTTTTTATTCTTTCCTACAGATAGGTTTCTTTTTCTTTCTTTCTTTTTTTTTTTTTGGTTTCTTTTCGTGTGAATGAGTAACACGCCCATCGACGATTTTCTGAACGAAAAGGAAACGTCATCCCTTCGTTAAGGGATTCGTGTTTGTATGTATGTGTATATGTATGTCTGTGTGTGTGTGTGTGTGTTTGTGTGTGTGTTGTGTGTGACTTAGAGTGTTGCTTTTTCGACGTAACTAAAAAAGAAAAATGAAAAAGGGTTGTTACCGTTAACGATTTATGATAAAACGCTTCTAAAAATGTTTTTATATTTTTCTTTTTCTAACCAACAAGCAAAGTAATTCTTTTTAAGGAGAGAAATATAAAAAGAGAGAGAGAGAGAGAGAGAGAGAGTGAGAGAAGATTTTTGGTTCTTTACTTTCTTTAGTTTTTTCTTTCTCAATGGTTTCCTCTTCCACCTACGCGTATAAATCAATTTTCTTAAAGAAACATTTTACGTGTATTTATATGTGTATATATATGTATGTGTATATGTGTTTGTACATGTGTGTATCTATGTGAGTTGATATATGAGCGTGTGATTCATTAACCGTCTCTGATGAAGCATGTGTTAATGAAGAGAAATGTCTTCTCTTCTTCTAATTCACGTTTAGTTATAAAATAAAAGTATAAAAAAGAGGTTATGTTCGCGTTTTATTTTTGATCTACCTTTAAACATTAAAATAAAGGTCTGCTTGGTTTTTTTTTGTTTTTGTTTTTGTTTTTTCGAATACAATAAAAGAACAGTAAATAAAACAAAGAAGAAGAAAAAGAAGAAAAAAAAATTACATTTAAATAAAAAAAAAATAAAAAAAAATAAAATTTATAAATAAACAAAATTTAAAATTCCATAAAAAAAAAAAACAATTCTAAATTCTATGAATAATAATTGTAATTATATTATTCTGTCATTAAGATTAGTTTGATTTCAATGGGATTATTACAAAGATTTTGTTGAAAACCATAAAAAGAATGAGACTCTATTTTTTTTTTTTTTTAAACCATATAAAAAGAATAAGACTATGGTGGAAAATTTTGTTTAAAAAATTGTCAACACAAAATGTGAGAATTTTTTAATTCTAATTATAAATCATTTTACATCATTTCAAGGACATTCTTGTACGATCGATAATGATGACATCATTACTTTGTTAATCAAATGAGATTTAAATTAGATATCACATTGTATAATAAAATATTAAATAATTAATAATTTAACAATAAATTCTTTTACACGATGAATAAATTTGTTGTGTCTTATTTCGAAATTGTTTAAAATGAAAATAAAATGTGTGTGTGTGTGTGGTGCGCGCGCGTGTGCATGAATTATCACCTATCCCCTCTTTTGAACACCTTAACCTATCTTTCGAGAATATTTTTTTATGCGTATTTAATAAAGATTGAATTTCTTAGAATTCAACGAACGATATTTATTATAATCGATGTTTATCACGATCGACTTTGACCCTTACCTTAACCTATTTCTCTCTCTCTCTCTCTTTCTCTTTCTCTTTCTCATTCTTTATTTTTTATATTCAATCGTACGGATTATTACCGTGCGTAAAAATAACAGGTGTTAGGTTATGTTATAAAATAAATAAATTAAAATAAATATTATATCTATTAAATTATTTACAAAAATAAATTATTATATTAATAAAATTATTATATATTTATTAAAATATATTTTATATTTGTTTAATAAATTTAAATAATTAATAATTATATTTAAATTATTAATAAATAGTTAGTTAAATGTATCTCAAATTTTAGATAAACCTAATTACACACACATGCAAATACACATATACATATATGTGTATTTCAATTTGACCGTAAAAATCATGGAAGTTTTGGCAACAATTGTCGACAATTAAAAGAATTATTATTATTATTATTATTATTATTATTTTGTTTAATCGAAATATCGATGATTGAAAAATTCATTCGATTTTGTAGCTAAATTTTTTTTCCTTTTTTTTCAAAAAATTTGATTCAATTTGTACTCTCACAAAAATTGAAATAAGTATATTTATATGTATAAGAGTATGTATATATATATATATACATACGTATATATCGTTTCTTAATGGTTTGAAGTCCACTTAAGCTAACAAGATAGCGTGGAACAGCTGTTTCAATGTTAACGAAACGGTGCAGCCGGTCTAGCCTGTCAAAAGGTTATATAGCGGAGGAGAGGGGGGTGGCAGGGAGGGAGGCGGAGCAAGAGGGATTGGTGTTTGAGTTATGCATGCGAATGCAAGTGTAACCATCAGTGTTACACCTTTGCATTAATATGTTTTTACTTGCTTCTTTTTTTCTTGTAAATTTTTGTTCTTATTTTTTCTATTTCTATCGATTATTATTATTAAATTATTATCGCATTATTTGTTATAATAATTTTTATCATTTATTTGTAATTTATTTTTATTAATATATTATAGGTTATATATATATTTGATTATTTATTGTTATTATATCAGTGATTCCCAAAAGTGGGCGTTACCGCCCCCTGGTGGGTGCTGCTGTGATTCATGGAGGGTGGTAGAAACATTAATACATGTATATATATGTTTTAAAATTAATTTCCATAGGGCGCTAAGTACTTTTTTTGGAAAGGGGACACGTAGGACAAAAAAGTTTGAGAACCACTGTTCTAAACTTTTGTTGTTTCCCTCTCTTTTCCGGAACAATAAGCTGATTGGATGGGACTTTGCCAACTGTAACTTTTCTTTTCTGCATTGAGGAAGTTTCGGACTATGTTGCGAGTCTTCAAGGTTATTGTTCACTGTATTTCCTCCTATATGTTTGGATCTAGTTTTAGTATTGTGAGGTGATTTTTAAGAGTATTGAGTGTAATTTCTGTAGTAGACATTATTAATGGATCTTCATATTATCAGGCCCTTTTTTTGTTTCTATAATCTTTGTATTTTTTGTGTTAACTGTATATTTTTTTATTGGGTATATAGTTTTGTCTCTTTTATTTGTGAATGTGAGATCTGTGGCTTGTTGTATTTGACAGTTCTGTCTGTGTGTAATTTTGTGTCCCAATACAGTTTGTAATGATTATTTTTACAGTATTGTATGGTGTATATTTGTAATATGGTGTATCATTGTGTTCTAAATTGAATTTTTTTGCTATTGTTTTGTGTAATATTTTTGTTGCAATATTGTGTCGGTCTGTATATACAGTTTGCATCCTTCTATTGTGTTTGGTGAAAGCCAAGGTATTTGTATGGCTCATTGTCAAATGATTGGTCTGTGTGTATTTTTGTGTCCCTATACAGTTTGTAATGATTATTTTTACAGTATTGTTGTGGTGTATACTTGTAATATGGTGTATCATTGTGTTCTAAATTGAATTTGTTTACTATTGCTTTGTGTGCTATTTTTGTTGCAATATTGTGTCGGTCTGTATATACAGTTTGCATCCTCCTATTGTGTTTGGTGAAAGCCAAGGTATTTGTATGGCTCATGTTTGTTTATACAGTCGAATGGTTGGTTATTTAGTGTTGTAGTTATTATTATTATTATTAGTTATTTACAATTATATTAATTTTATTTGTTATTTATCTAATAATAGTTTGTTTAGTTACTGTATATATTATATTGTTGAGGTTCTAAGTATAACTG